GTCTCCGTCCCTGGCAGAGGAAGCATGAAGGAAGGATCCCATTCCAATTTTGGACAGAACTCATTTTTAGACATTTCTTTGGTATCTTAGGCCTAAACAGGCTTCTCAGTGGGACAGATAATGTTGAAAGACAGAATTACAAATTAAAAGCCCTCAGTTGGTAATGATATAGTACTTGGTTGTTCCGGAATTCAGTGACGGACAGGGGACGTAAGGACTGAGAGAAGGCGAATGGATGGAGCGCTAAGACCTGCGCGAGGCTGGGCGCGCCCCACCTTGTCAGAGCCAGGCCCCTGAGGCAGTGGCTGCTGGCGCCCTTTCACTGTCACTGAGCTGAGAACAATGTTCCCTTCCACTCTGAGGACTTGCCACATCTAGCACACTGTGTGGAAGCGACCAGCTGCCTGCTATGTACCAAAGGCTTGGCTCTGCGTGTGAGTGTGACACCAGTTGTTAAAACAGTCTCCTCCTGCCACAGGTCAAGGCCTTTCCTATGCAATTCGTACATAAGTTCCTCCCGGCCAAGTCCATGCACGTGTGGTCTCCAGCTCCACCCACCTCAACAGCTCCGGTGAGGGCTATGCACCCAGAAGTTCAAAAATTAGTTATCAGGGGTCATTTTATGATAGCAATTGTAGGCATTTCCAAAGAAAAGGAAACTGATAACTAGTCTGGATAATCTTGACTCTAAGACTGATGCAAAGTAAAAACCCTTCATGGCCAACTGCGCTGCCTCCCTCCGCAGCCATGAGCATCGCGCCTGAGTCAGGCTCCAGGACTGCGCCAGCCACGTGCTTGGCATGCTCTGGCAACGCCAAACCACCTGTGGCTCCCACGCACCAGGACTTTGCCAGACTTGGGCCTTTGTTTATACTGTTTCTGCAGCCTGAAAAGTCATTTCCGTACTCAACTCACGCTTCAGCTCTCAGCTTAGATGTCCTTTCCTCAGCCAAGTCCCTCTGACCCCCCCACTTGGGTAAGGGCACCCTGTGCGGCTCCTGGCAGGGACCCCATGCGCACCTCTATCACTGAAGTTACCACACTGTACTGAAATGATCCATCTGCACCTGTGTGGCCTCTGCCCAGGTCTGGAAATGGACCTTGTCACCCCAGGCCTAGCTCCAGGCTTGGCATGCGTGAGCACTCAGCAAATGGTTAGCTGAAATGGACTAGAATCTCGAGGATTATCCAGTTAACTAGTGTTAAAAAGGAAATTAATCTCTGTGTTTTCCAGTCAAGTTGCTAGATATCCATGCTTCCACATCAGGAAAAATTTAACTTAGTATTATTTTTAAGGAGAGAAAAATTAAGAATGTTTTGGCTCCCTGGCCGGTTTGGCTCAGTGTGTAGAGCATCAGCTCATGGAAGGTCATGGGTTCGATTCCCTGGGCCCAGTTGAGGTCGTGCGGGAGGCAATCAATCGCTACGTCTTTCTCACATAGATGTTTCTTTCTCTCTCTGACCCCTCCCTTCTACTCTATCTAAAAATCAATGGAAAAATTTCTTCAATGAGGATTAACAACAAAAAAGGATGTTTTAGCAAAATGCTTGCTGTCACTTTAAAATATAAATCTTAGTGAACAAGGTCTTTCCATAAAATTAAACTTTATGAAATGGCAAAACCAAGAGTCTTATTTAATGAATATTTATATCCAGTAACTTTGATACATAGTTTAGCGCTATCTCTTTGCTTAAAAGTCAAAATCCAGGCTTTAAAAATAGATTAATGTTAAGCAAAAAGAAATTATGCTTTTTTTGCGTACGTGTCCCTAGAAGGAACCAAACCCAGGACTCTCTGGTCTGCAGGCCGACGCTCCAACTGCTGAGCCAAACCGGCCAGGGCTAAATTACGTTTTTAAAAAATGAATGTCAATACATGAGAAGGTGATGCTCCATAGAAAGGGCAAAGACTGTGGGCCCAGTGACTCCCTCGAGCCAAGTGGCAATGAGCCCTCAGACAAACGGGGTGAGGGCATTTTCAGGCTCCTGAACTTCCAATTAAATGTTGCCACAGGTGTTCTGTGGGGAAGAGCGTAGGGAAGAGTTTACCCTGATGAAGACCTGCAATGCTTGCCTCTTACATAGTACCCACCCACTCACGACCACAGGACTGTGGGAAAAGAAGCGTCAGGTTTGCTACGTTGAGGAACAAACCTGTTCCTGAGCGCTGTCTCAGGGCACAAGGAATCACTCCTCCTCCCACGTGTGCCATTACCTGGTAATGTTCAAAAACAACTGTTCCTTGAAATTCTTCTTTTAGATTCTCTTGTTTACACCTCAGCTATTCTAACTGCCTGGTAGAACTATAGTGTTTTGTGCTCAGAACACTAGATCTCTGAAGAGCCCTTCCAGTTTTGCGATTTTATGATTCTTTGAACAATTCAAACAATCGAGTGAGAAATGCATTGTGGTTGATCGACCTCATATGAAAGACACAGAACTCTAAGGACTTAATGTAAAACCGTTTGCTACTGTGGAGACATACCCAGGCAGTTCAAGGTTCCAGTAACACCATTTCTTTGGAGAAACCGAGAGCACGATTGGTTTCATCCCACCAAAGAGCGAGCAGCTCCGCACGCGGCAGTGCTGCCGGAGCTGCTGCATGACGGAGTAACAGAGCAAACAAGCATGTAAGTGCAAATCCGCAGGGTGAGACACGAACTATGACAGCTGACCCAGACAGGAGGAGAGGCGAGGCTGATGCCAGCGCCCTCTGCTCCATTTCCACAGGATGCTTGGGAGACACTCAACACAGCACAAATATCTCTGAGTTACAAAAACGATCGAGATTCAACATAAAACTCAAGAATTCACAGAATTACAAACACACACAATTGGTTTGCTAAGCACTGTTCACCAAATTCAAGCACCTATTCACATGAAGAGAAAGAAAAGGGCAGAGCTATGGGTACCTTGATCTACCTGTGGTTTGTGACTGTGACTCTCCTCACCAACAAAGTGTCAAGTGGTTTCAATCTCTGGGTGGCTCTGTGGGCTGGGTACAGCCATGCTGGGAGGGAGGTAAGTATAGTGAAGTGCAGGGTCACAGGCAGCCACCGTGGTGCAAATATGTGATCCCGCAGGGAAAGTCAGCTTCCCAAAAGGGGTATGAGCTCATGTGGATCTAACGCAGGTCCACACCAGGCTTGCTGGGTGCCTGATCTACTGCCTCTCTAACATGTTGCCTCCCTCTCGCAGAGGCATTTTCAAAGTCCAGAAAGGGAAGAGAGAGTGACCCATTCCTATTGTCCAGAGTCTCCATTATGTGCAACTTAGTAATGGCTGCAGGTTCTGGTAATAAATTACAAAATAGGTATCTGAATATTTGAAATTTAATTCCCTTTTTAAAGCTCTCTCACAGAGCAATCATGCAGAAAAGACTCAGATTAACATTAAGGGCTGGATGGCAAGCAAGGGTAGCATGGAAGGGGCCAGTGGAAGGGACAACTGGTAATCACTCCTGTGCACTCAGGCGCATGCATGAGACCTTAGAATGTGGGCACGTGACTGGTGTGATGTGATGTCCCAGGTGGTGACTGCCATGCACTGTGGCTCAGTGGGGAGCACCCCTGGTCTTGCCACTGATTGCTGCAGCAGCAAATCATATCTAGGAAGCTGCTTCCCTGCGAAGCATGCTAGGTCTGTGTTAGGGGTGGTACCCAAGTATGGCTGGTAGCACTTCTTTGGTTAGAAAGAAAATTAATGACCACAAGGGAAAAAATTGCTTTCCAGAAAAAGAGAAAAAAATAGGGAGGATTTAAAATACTACCACCAAAATACTGTCAAATTAGAAGTAAAGAAGAGACTGTGGAGGTAGGGCTTGATAGGATGGGCAAGTAACTGGTCTGTAATAATTACCAGGTATTATTTAACCTGGTAATTCCCAAGAGACTCAGCGATCCCCAAAAAGCCCAACAGATGAGGGCTGACTGAGGTGGTACCATGCAATGTGCTAAGAATGGGGTGGGCCCTCAGCACCTGCTTGCCCACTTATTTAAATTCTATTTTTATAGGTGAACATAAGATTTTAAAAAGGACTTGAATATCCTGAGTTGAGTCACTACACAGAGAATATTTCACTTTATCAAATTTGATAGCATTCCCTTAAAATAAGAGTTCAGCTTGATTTTCTAAATCCCTTTTCACACTCACAACAGGAACACACGAGCTGTAGGACTCAGTACCTTTTATGTCTCAGACCAAACAGTTTTAGTACAAAAGTGTGCAAAGTGTTCTAGTTTTTAAAGGGGAAGAAAATACAATGGTGAGGAATCGAGCAGGGTTCAGTCTCACAGTAATGAACACGGTCAAGTTCAGAGGTGATGTCACACAGAAAAACACAGCTTGAACACACTTTTTTTGGAAAGACATAGGGTTTTGTTTGCTTTTTATATGAATGAGGGAGCAGTGTGTCAATAAAACTAAACCATGAAAGGCTCAGAAGGCTCCAAGTGAATTAGAAACGATCCAGGCACCGCTGACAGGAGCTCTGAGTTACAGTGACCTCTTCCCTGAGGGCAGTGGCGGGAGCGGCTTCCTCGTAGCGAAGGACAGAAAACTGAGGCAGGAACACCAGGTCATTTCTACTCGGTAAGAATGTCGGTAAACTAGCCGTTACAGGTCATTCTTCAGGTGATTCAAGAAGGCGGCTGGTCAGTCCACGTGGACGTTCGGGCCTCCCTGGAAGAGGGCTCCTGTGAAAGCAGCACCGCCGTGAACACAGCGTGAACACCACTCTGTGAGCAGCAGGCGGAGGGGAGGGGACAGAGACACAGAGACGCAGCGGAGAGGAAGATGCTGACCACGTGATCCGCGCCCAGATGAAGAAAATATGGAAGCTGCTTTATGATGACCAAAAATACCCTGAACAGACACTTCCCTCATTTCTCTGACACACAAAGAAATAGCTAAAATGAAGAGTTGAAAAATACAATAATTAAACACCCCACACAGTTTTCAGTATACTCAAAACAATGCAGCAAGCCAGACTGTATAAACCATTTGTTAAAAAAATATCTTCTCTTATATTGTATGAACAAGTCGAAAGGGTCCCTTCCAAGTGTTCATTCACTAGCTCACCCCTGTGTGCGCAGGTAATATGCAAAGTCAGCTAGTTTCCTTAGTTTCTCTTCTCACGTGTCTGCCTTACAGCCCCGGTAACGGTTTGGATTAGAACAATCACTTCTTGAGTAAATACTCTTTCTGATGCCTGGGGGTGTCATCATGATACCACTGGGGTCATATCCCACAACTGTAAAAAGAAAAGGAACATATACAATGTAAAATCAAATTGTGTTGAGGGTAACCAACTGAAAATTCAAGTGAATTTTCAAATTTAAGAAACAACTAAATATTATACTAACATGATTCTGAAATCTTTAAAACAGTATTTTCCATCAAAAAATCCTACTGTATACCATAAACCTCAAAAACATGACAATGGCAGCTGAAATTCTGACCCAGCTAGCAGAGAAGGAAAGCAGGTTCAAGTCCTTGAAGGGGAAGGCACTAAGCTGTAACAGGCAGCAAATGGGTCCCGGGGATGTGCTGTATCCTTTCAATATCTTATCTCATTTAATCTTCCAAACAGTTCTACAAGGCATCTCAGTTTCAAAAATAAAGGAACTGAAACTCCCAGTTTATTTTAAACTTGCTTCAAGTCTCAGAGGCCTGGCGGCTTCCAAAGGGGGTTATTTTAACCCCCTTATCTTGCTGCTGCCTCGAAGAATGGACCAGAACGGGCCTGGGAAGCAGCGCTCACAGCGCTGGGCAAGACTGTGCTGTGCCTCAATGTTTTCCAGAAAATGACGCAAGGTGGCCCCTTGTGTTCGGGACCTCTACTGTGGCACCAAGTCCAAGTGGTCCACCACAGTTTTCAGAGAGGCCCTGGGAGAATGCTTGTGGATTCACTGATCACTGGGAAAAGATCCAGTTTATTATTTGTTGGATTATTCAAGTCCTACCATTCCTTCAATGCTCATCTCAAGCCGCCACCTCTAGCAGCTCTGTCTCCCCTACGGAACTCTTAAAGTAATTCTTGTCTCTATCACGCTTCTGGCCACTGCACATGTGACCTGTTATTGAGTGTCTCTTAAGAGTATGTCTCCAAGAGACTATAGGTTCTCAAAAATGCTCACAGCCAAGGGTAAACTTCTGAGTGGGTTTCATGCAGCCTTGGTACTCTGGTATATTCACACAGGACCAAAGACAGGAAGCTCCCGAAACAAGACGGCACGTACCTTAATGACCTTGTCAGTGCCCGAAGTCAGTAACCATCCCCTGGTAGCATCAAAGTGCACGTGCACAATGTTGTGCTTACTGTCGTGGAAGGTGGCTGTGGGCGCACGTCTGAAGGAAGCAAAGAATGCCCAAGAGTGAAACGTTGTGACACAAGAATGACAGGAAGGAAGGACACCTAGAGTGACATTAAACTCTTACTTTTCGCCAAATGGCTAAAATGGCTTCACTGTTAGAAATGCTGCTCAGGTCTACCTTTATTCCCTGGTGACCTGGGTAAGATTTTTTTTTTCTTTTTTTTTATCCTCATCTGTGGATATTTTTCCATTTTTTATTCAGATAGAGTAGGAGGGAGAGAGAGGGAGAGAGAAACATCGATGTGAAAGGAACACATCGAGTGGCTGCCACCCACACGACCAACCAGGGCCGGGGACAAACTGCAACTGAGGTATGTGCCCTTAGCGGGAACCGAACCCGGGTCTCTCTGGGCCACAGGCCGACGCTCTAACCATTGAGCCAAACCAGCCAGTGCAGATTTTTTAAGTAAAGGATTCTTATATTCTCTAAAATGGGAAAGAGATGATGAAATTTTCAAAAGTCCCTTGTAGATTATTTGTTGCTCTAACAGACTATGAAAGTCTGTTTATAAAAAAAACAAAAATAGACCACAGTGCACTGGCTACATTTGATCTCAGAAGGACTTGCTGGTAAGATAGTCTCCCAAACACTGTTACCTATTTTTTATTTTTTAATCTACACATATTTTTTAGTAAGAAGTTCTGTCAACTGCCCAGGTGCTCTGAAGGCAATGCAAATGCTTCCCCAGGGAAGAGGCAGGAGAAACAATGATGTGGGAAAAGGGCAGGAATGTAGGGGAGGACGGCTTTTCTCTGCACATGTTTCAAGAGTTCCCACATCTCTGTGCTGGGCTCTCTGAAGACGGCGGTTTTATTTTTTAAATCTATAGCTAAATCTGGAAAATAGATCTTCAGCATACAAAAAATTGTCATTTTAAAATATTTGAAATTAAAGATTCAAGTTTAATTTTCAGTCCTTTGGACCCTGTAGACCTGTATCTTTATCTACAAAATGAAGAACTGAACTAGAGTATCACTAAGATCACATGCAGCTCTCGAATTTAATGAGAAGAACTCGCACTAATTTCATCACATATGATGAGTGGAAAATACACAGTGAACAGAATTACTTCTGGAAGGGAATCTTAATTTTTACTGGATAAGAATAAATAATAATGAAAAACAGGTAAGTAAGGGTGATCTGTAAAAGAATGTTTTATTAATTTGCCAAGAATTCCCTTTAAATGATGATGTACTTTGGTACATTTTATTTATTTATTTTTTTACTGTGGTGCATTTTAAATGTTTCTATATATATGCATCTTTAAGACACCCATGTAGTACTTCAATGATTTTACTGTATACAGGGTGCTAGAGGTATGTGGGGGAGGGGGCATGAGCGTTTTCCTACGAAATCCTGCTGTAATTCACCAAAAGGGAAACTTATTGCAGAGTATTCTGTAACAGGTTGGCTGTTTTAAATCAGCCAACACTAAATAGACAGCATAGATCTATCCCACCTACTATGCACAATAAGACGCCGCAACCTAAGGTCCTGGTATATTCACACAGGACCAAAGACAGGAGCAAGACAGTAGTTGGGCAACTGGCAGCATTTACTTCTCAGGTAAAGTGGCTTGGCTCTTTCTGGACAAAGAAACCTCTACAGCCTGGGGGCTGACCTGGCCCCTGTGAAAGATACCAGCCTGGGCTAGAAAGTGAACCCTGGGCTCCTGAACTTAGGGCACTTCTCAAAGACGTGAGGACCCAGTGAAGGCTCTGCCTGAAGGCCATGTGTTTGCAATGCACATACCCGGGCTGAGAAGAGTACAGACGCACTCTCCATGCACACCCTCTTCCCTCTTGTCTCACGAGAGAACACAGTCTCTGGGTGGAAAGGAGGGCTCTACCCACTAGCCATGATCTACCTTCTATGCCAGCGGGAACTGGGCACTAGTAGCCATGACTGTAGTACTGGCTGCAGCTCTCAGATCACATTCTCTCCTTAACTCTGACAATTCTGCAGAATGCTGGAACTTACTCTTCATCTGTGATGGCCTCGTGGCAGCTGTCGCAGACCCTCACTTCAAACTCGAAGCCCATCAGAGGGATGGAGGAGCGTTTGGAGCTGCACTTGCCGCAGACGGCCTTCCCGCACTTCCGGCAGTGGTGCTGCGGGGGAGAACAGACACTCGTCAAGGTGGCCTACATTCAGCTGAGGATGCTAAACAAGAGTGCCCCAACACTGAAACGAACACACTAGGTAGGTTCTCTTTTTGGACAGTTTATTCAGAATGAGGACTGCTGGGAAACACATTTGACTGCCACCTCCCCACTGCCCCTTCCCCCATTCTTGGTCCTCTCTGGCTGTCATCACTATGAACTCTAGAGCAACCACCTGGCAGTCAGGTTATCTTAAAGCTAAGTATAATGAGGAGGTGCCACCTCCAGAGATCATGCTGCCTTATGAAGCAGAATATGAATGAACCCTGATTCAATCTGTTGTCCGCACTCTCATGTGCTCAATCTAGATGAGCAATGAAATCAATATTTGGTTTCCTTAGGGAGGACAATCTCAACCATGGAATCAGATCGAAAATGCTGTTGATCTGAATAACTAAAACTAAGACATAAGGAGGGCAAGGGAAATTATTAAGAAGAAATAAACACCACTTCTATAATTGCATGGTTTTGTACCAGTATGAGCTAAGCATGATCCCTCTAACGTTAAGGTATATTTCAACAGATGCCACTACAATTCTAAAGTCATATCTTGTAACTACTTATGGGGACAAGTCCCTACAAAACTGAATCCAGTAGGAATGAGCTATAATAGTTATAAAGGGAATAAATTAATGTGCAGTCACAGAGTGACTCCACGATAATAATTTATCCCTATTTCTTCTAAGCTCACAGGTGAAGTTATTTCACACTATTGCATTCTGATGAAGCAGCCACATTGCTCACCTGTCTTAGGCTGATTTTCCTACTGTCCCACATTTGCTTGAAGTTCCAGAAGAAAGGCTGATCACACTTTTGGCAGGAATCACTGTCCAACCATTCAGGGGTCTTGTCAAATAAAGCACATGGCAGGTCACATGAGAATCAGTAACTTAAGGTTACTTGATGTAAGTCACACAGATGAAATTACAGAATCAAGATGTGCTCTTAAGAAACAGAAGCACGATTTCTCAATTATTTAAAAAATATTTACTAAATGTCTATTATGTGTCAGGTCCTGGGATATAGTGATGAATAAAAAGAATCTCATGGAGAATCATCATGGAAGGTTAAACATGAAAATATTATTAATAATAATTATTTAAATAAGTGTAAGTGCAAAGGCCTGAAAAGAAGCACTGAGTGCTGACAGTGCTATGACCTAGGCTGGGGTTCAGGGGTGTTCAGGGAGAGCTGGGGATTTATCAGCAGTCTTGACAGCCATGTTGAGGATTCAGGACTTTATCTCATATTCTCTGATCGTATGCAATTATATTTGCTCTGACTGTGTACAATTATATATAATTGCACATTGCACATACACACAGCTATCTGTGTTGGAGGGACAGAACCTGACCACAGCAGGTACTCGGAGACGCTACTTGTCCACTGTCCGCTCATGGCAGGACCCAGCAAGGTTAGAAACTCTGTTGCTTGCCTCAGGGGGTCACACAACATTCTAACTTTGTTCACTATTTCCCAACCCCATCACGAGTACTCTAAACTCTGTCAAACAGGTTTAAAATTTGTGTTACGTTTACACACTTAATAATTGATGTTTCTTTCTTTTCAGATCTAACCCAGTGGAATTTATAATTATTCAAAGCATGTATACATTTTTGGGGGACACCCTATATATGAAAAAAATGAAAAAAGTTGAGAAAAAATGGATTTTGTTAACCTATGGGATGTCAACCCCCACGCAATCGGCCACGTGGTCTTCATCGTCTGTCCCACTCACCAGCTAGCCTTTCTCGGGGCTTCCCCTGCACATGCGCACTTCCCCTGCACATGCGCAACGGCTCGGGTTCACCTGGTCTTGACCCTTGCAGTTTCCTGCCCTGGTCAGAGCACATTCAGGCCCCATCAATCTTTCAGCACTATGTCCTTCCACAAACCCTTCTCTGAGAACATCAGACAACAATGGTAACTCCTCTTTCTAAATACAGTCGGCCCTCGCTTATCCTGCTTAATCAGTTCCAGACTCTACCACGATAAATGAACTTCCCCGAAGTAGGATTCTTTACTCATACACAGTTGTCCCTTGCTGCTTCCCGCTTCGACTTTCGAGGCTTCACTCAATCGCAGTTTTTTCGAGTATAGTATAGTATAGTACTAGTATTAGTATAGTATTAGTATGGTATAAGTATAGTACAGTATAGTATTAGTATAGTATCAGTATAGTATAGTATAGTATCAGTATAGTATAAGTATAGTATAGTACTAGTATAGTATCAGTATAGTATAGTATAAGTATAGCACAGTATAGCATTAGTATAGTACAGTATAGTATTAGTACAGTATAGTACAGTATAGTATTAGTACAGTACAGTATAGTACAGTACAGTATAGTATTAGTATGGTATGGTATAGTATGGTATAGTATAGTATTAGTATAATATAGTACAGTATAATATTTGAAAAAACCGCAATAAAGTGAAGCCACTAAAGTCGAAGTGGGAAGCAGCGAGGGACAACTGTATCTAGCACTAGTGCTCTATCTTACATCTATTGCAATTGATTCATTTATACCATTTCATAGTTTTCTTAAGTTCTCTCCCACATGTCTTTTTTTTTATTTAATTTTTTTAATTAATTAATTTTTGTTACAGATGTTTCTCCCCCCCACCCCTGATTCCCCCTCCCCACCCTGTCCCAGCTTTGTTGTCCATGTCCATTGTTCATGCATACATGCATATAAGTTCTGTGGTTTATCTCTCCCCCACCACCCTGTTCTGGGAATTGTCAGTGTGCACCCCACTTCCATGTCTCTGGGACTACCCCATTCCTCAGACTGTTATGTTCATTATATTCCACAAATAAGTGAGATTATATGATACTTGTCTTTCTCTGTTTGGCTTGTTTCGCTTAGGATAATAATACTTTCCAGGTTCCTCCATGTCATCTCAAAGGATAAGAGATCTTTCTTTCTTACAGCTGCATAGTACTCCATTGTGTATATGTACTGTCCGATAGCCTGGGGACTGGCGCCAGGCAAACTGCTCGACCATTATCTCGCTTATGCGACCTAAACTCCCACCCTGTTCCAGGAACCCGGGCTTATAGATTAACTCCCACCCTATTCCAGGTGCCCTGGGCTTATTGACTCACATTCCAGAGGCTCCCATGCATAGCCCCCGCAAGGTCAAACCCTAACAGACAAATTCCAGCTGCAACAGGCAGATATAAAAAAACACAAACCCCAGCATCGGGCGCGGCTTCTAGGACTCGACCCCCAGAGTCTGTGAACCCGGCCGGAGTGTACCCAGTAAAGCCTGATCTCTATTTATTCGGCTGTTTGGCTCTCCAGTCTCTTCTCTATTTTTCGGCGGTGCCCCCGATTCTTTACAGTGACCACTGCTTTTTTATCCATTCGTCTATTGGTGGGCATTTGGGCTGTTTCCAGATCTTAGCTATTGTAAATAGTGCTGCTACAAACATGGGGGTACATATATTCTTTCTGATTGGTGTTTCAGGCTTCTTTCCACATGTCTTTTCTTCTACAAAGTCTGCCAGCACTTCAGGGCAGGGACTGTCTCAGTATAGTCAGACCTCAGGAGGTGAACACTGCACATCACTTGCCATACCCATAAGTAGCTCCGCACATACTCTCTGGGGATTTCTGTTTATATAACACTTGCAAAAAAAAAAAGATGGAACCATCTCCACTGCTTATTTAGAGTTCTGAATCACTCAACAAAATTTAAAATAGTCAACAAGTACTGAGTACTAATATATCTGTATGTCAAAAGACATACTTTAAGCAAGATGGCTCAAAGGACTGCCCATCAACCACCTGGTTTTATCATCAAAAACCTTTCGGCTTTTGTCTATCAAGGGCAAGGCTGCGTGCTGCTCAGAAATGAGTCACCCCTCACACCAAGATGTATGTGCTTCCATAGTGTTCGGATTCTTTTGAGCTAAAGGCAACTGAGACCCTGCAGACTCACAATAAACTTTTACCTGTCCTTTAAAGAATTTAAATTAGGTCATCAGAGATGCAAATTAAAATGACTATGAGGTATCACCTCACACCTGCCAGAATGGCTGCCATCAACAAATCATCAAACAAGTGCTAGCAAAAAGGGACTCTAGTACACTGCTGGTGAGAATGCACACTGGTGCAGCCACTATGGAAAACAATACGGTGTTTCCTCAAAAAATTAAAAATTGAACTTCCATTTGACTCAGTGATCCCATTTCTAAGAAGCCTGAAACACCAATCAGAAAGAATATATGTACCCCTATGTTCATAGCAGCATTATTTACAATTGCTAAGATCTGGAAACAGCCCAAGTGTTCATCAGTAGATGAGTCAATTAAAAAGCTGTGGTACATATACACAATGGAACACTACGCAGCTATAAGAAAGAAAGATCTCTTATTCCTTGAAGTGACATGGAGGGACCTGGAGAGTATTATGTTAATTGAAATAAGCCAATCAGAGAAAGACAAATATCACATGATCTCACTTATTTGTGGAATAAGCAAAATAAGCTGATGAACAAAATAGACCCAGAGACATAGAAGAGAGTAGAGTTCAGACTAACAAACTTCAGAGGAGGGGGTCAGGGGTCAGGAAAGAGATAAACCAATGAACTTGCATGCATATATGCATAACCAATGGACACAGACAACAATGCTGGGGGGGGGGGGGATCAGGAGGAGGGCGTCAATGGGGGAAAAAGGAGAAAGACCTGTAACAAAAATTAACTAATTAATAAAATAAATAAGTAAATAGCTATTAAAGAATAATTTAAATTCGGGACCCTGCCCATAAGAGTTATCATTAGAAATAACCTTTTGCGATCTATCTGTAGGTCAGAGCAAACTTCTAATTACTGAACATCTGCTCTTCTTACTGTCCTACAATGACCTTCCTTCTCTCTGACGTCCCAAGGTGATCCTTAGCTTAGTATATTATTACGCCATTTGCCCTTTCTGCCTTTGCACCTCTCATGCATGTAAGTTTCTCGAACTCTCTCATATATGTGGAATTCCCATATGTATGTATGCATTGCATCTGGTTATTTTCTCTTGTTAATCTGTTTAGGATCTATTTGAATATTAGACCAGCTGAAAGAACCTTGAGGGTAGAGGACAGTTTCTTCCTCCTCTACAGTGCACTGAGGGAAAAGACCCTCTGGTCCTCTCCTCCCCCGCAGCAGGTCAGCTAGGCCAGGGAAGAAGCCAGGGCAGACAGGATGTGACTGTGCCTCTCCTAAAGCGGGCTTCCATGCAGAATCACAGCTCACGCAGATGGCCTGGCTAGCCTACAATGTATTGATTTCCCTGCCCTTATTCTACTGGGGCCTAAGGGTGCGTTCAAAGCAATGTTCTATAATTCCCTACTTCCTAACAATAATGATGATCATTTTAATTAGTTACTAATAGAAATCCTGTGGATTTATGATTTCAGCAAATCAGGTTTTAATCGTAAGCATTTCATTACTGGCATTTGAAAGGCATTAGATTGTGGATAATATTCTCTTCGAATGAGATTGTGTGAGGGCAGGGAAAGAAGTTCGAAGATTGCTTTTGTCTTTTTAAAATGCTGCTTCTCTGAAATTAGAAAAACATACACTGTCAATGGGAACATTTACCCACCATAATTCTAGGGAAATGAGAATATACTTCAATGTACTTGTCAAAGGGGATATTCAGTAAACATATCAGTTGTTAAGATGCTCAAAGGTGAAAAAGAAAACTCATACAAAAAGAATGCTATGGTAAAACTAGTAATATATGCTTAAAAATAACAAAGTATATATTTCTATCTGGAGAACTATTTGCAAGATGAAGCATAAAGTAATTATTTCCAATATTTCTGTTAATACCAAACTAAAGACTCTTACTTCATCAAACACCATTTCTCACACATGCCATCAATTCTGTCAATAACACGAAGCACATGAGTTTTGTTTTCATTGGGTACTTTACACCAAAGGGCTGATCACCTGAAAATAGAAGGTTTCTTTTTCTCACCTGAAGTTTTGTTGTGAATGTTGCAACAGATTTAAAGTCTAAACAGCTTAGTCTCAGTCTAAATTCTTATGAAATCTCCATTACATAAATGTTAAATGCCAATTTGTGAGGGGCAAAAAAGTAGAAACTCCTTTTCTACCAGAATTATTTTTCTCTGACATAACATGTTTTATTTCAAGGTTTAATTATAAAAGAATTAAGAAGTGAGCAGGAGTGGCAGCTGAGCTGTTGTTTTTCAGCAGAGCCAAGCCCAGCAGCCACGCACCCACCTCCTGCCTTTCCACGTCCATGTTCCAGATAACAATGCCACCATCACTCCCACATGAGATGAGCTGCCTCGTGTGCTGTGCATAGGAGAGGGCCTGGATTTTGTCACTGTGAAAGAAAACAAGAGTTAGCCTCAGCTCAGGGGAGCAAGTGAAAGCCCTAAGGGAAGGATGCCCAGCAGTTAGGGAATGTGCACACTCACTGCTGAGCCCCAAGTGCAGATCATAGAAATTGACTGGAACTGTCACTGTCAACAGGCCAACTGTGAAGAGAGTATTCAAGGTTTACAAGTCAAAATGCTTATTTAAGATGCTGAGGCCAGGCAAGCTTTGTCTGTTACCAACACTTAAGGAGAAAAGCTGGCTATAATATCTTACTAGTTCTTTCCCTGATCAAATAAACAATTCTGTGACACGTGTTCATATTTACTTGTTCAAGAGTAATACTTTTCTTTTTAAAAAGGTACCTTTTAAGAGTTTTAGAGGTTATCCGTAGAGAAGCCCACTGCATTAACCTGGCAGAGCCAGGAGAACTGTTGCCTGAATTGTGAGCACACCATGGAGGCTTATGCCAGGCATGCCACCTCTTGGCTCCCCGTGAATCCTCAGCGGCAGTAGACTTGAGCTACGCCGACTCTGTTTCTCTAGTTTTTTTATTCCCTTTACTGGCTTGTGTTTATTTTCCTTTCCAGCCAAGGCATGGCTGACAAATTGTGGCAACCAAGATGGAGAATTCAGTTTTATGGTCTGGCAAACTGATGATCACTAAAAAAAGATTCTAGAGATATATTTGCTGTTGGGTGGGAGAGAACAGGGTATCTGAGTTCTTGGTCATTTTTATTTGAATATTTTTATATTTTGAGCTCAAATCAATTAAGTCTGTGCCCCTTGGGAAGAAGAGTAGCTCTTTGAAACTTAGACTGGTAACATTTGTGTTTACTTTTGACCTGTGGCTGATGCTGTAGAAAACTGAAGCTTGATCAAGTTCTATGTGTCTGTGCCTACAATTGAGAAAGGCCTTTACTATTTGTGGTGTATGGAACATTTTCCTATTGCCAGAGTGTGTCAATACATTAGATTATAACACATTTTATTTATTTACTTATTTTTATTGACTTTTCAGAAAGAGAGGAAGGGAGAGAGAGATAGAAACATCAATGTGAGAGAGTAACATCAATCAGCTGAACCTGGGCATGTGTCCTGACTGGGAATTAAACTGGGACCTCTCAGTCCGTGGGATGACACTCAATCCACTGAGCCACACCAGCAGGGCAGATTATAGCACATTTTAAATTATAAAACATATTCTGTTTGGCTAATAAAGATAACAAGTGCTTTTATAAATTGAATATTCCTGAACTTCACAGAAAATAAGGAAATTGACTCTCTAAAACTCTAAATTTACTAATCTTAAAAATAAAAATTATTTTACAGAAAATGCTATCTAACTCAATAAAAATTTAAGAATCCAAGCTCATAAAATTAAGGTAACTCTTTCGCAAATGAGACTAGTACGGTAAGTTTTAAAACACAGCTACATCTTGCTCTGATTTATCAGTGTTAAGTATAATGCAACTGTACATTTTTTTTTTATTTTGGTTGACTTATCCTAAATTTATATAGGATAATGGGCCAAATAAGCTAATATTATGACTATATGTTTAAGATTATAAAAAATACAAATTTGTATTCAATTAAATTGAATACTTTTTCTGAGAAACTTTTTACATAAATAGCAATTATGTTTTATAACACATCAACTTAGAGATAATTCCCAAGATATTTTTATTTTTTTAAATTTATTTATTTATTTTTTTTATCTTCACCCGAGGACATGTTTCCATTTTTTGTTCAGACAGAGTGGGAAGGGGAGAGAGAGAGAGAGAAACAGTGGTTGCCACCTGCACGACCCAATCAGGGCCAGGGACAAACTGCAACCGAAGTACACGCCCTCAGTGGGAACCGAACCCGGGTCTCTCCGGACTGCAGGCTGACGCTCTAACTGCTGAGCCAAACTGGCCAGGGCCCCAAGATCTTTAAGTAACTTCAAACAGATTAATAAGAAGTTGAGCTAACTGACAGATAATCACTGGACACCTATGTAGCAATTTCTAGGTTAGAATACTGAAACTTTGATTACATAGCACATTGAGTTTATATATATTTGCTTCTTATTTTTCTACAGACAGGCTGTAATATGTGAGTAACACCAATAAATAAGTTCATTTTTGACACTTTAAGGGGATGAAAAAGTGATGTGTGTGTCACAGTAGAATTGTATGTTATGTGTGTTTGTGAGCTTTGCCAGTCTGCTAAAATGCTTGTATATGATAGACAGTTCTTAATTATCTACATATTCCCGATTAATATAGAATTAGTTCTTTGGTTAATTATTATAATTAAAATAGGTTATTGAGACTATACCAGGTTCAAATTAAAAATATATAATAGTACATTCACTTTTTATTTTGGGGGGCATTCAGGAGGGAAATTTTAATTCTATAATTCTTAAAATTTGTCTTTTTTTTAAAAAACAGATTTATCAAGAAATGCATGGCATATAATAAGCTGCATATACATAAAACGTACAACTGATAAATTTTGATCCATGAAACTGTCACCACAAACAAAATTATAATTTATCACTCCAGAGGTACTCTTTGTCCTTTTGTAATCTCTTCCACCCAACTTTCCCAGCACCTCCCCGAGGCAAACACTGTCACTATAGATTAATTTACATTTTCTAGAGTTTTACATAAATAGAATAATATAGTATGTGCTTTAAAAAAAAGTTTGGTTTCTTTTACTCAGTGTAATTAAGGTTTATTTTTCTTGTTAGGTATTTTGACAGTTTTTTTGAGTTGTATTTTATTTATTTATTATTTATCCATTCTTCAACTGATGGATATTTAGTTGTTTCCTGGTTGGAGAGATTACAAAAAACAAAACGTGTTCTTTGGAGTACAAGTCTTTGAATGGGCATATGCATTTATTTCTCTTGGGCAAATACTTAGAATGGCTGGGTCACATGGTAGGTGCATTTAATTTTTAAGAGACTGCCAAACTGCTTTCCAAAGTGGTTGTATTGTTTCCACGCCCATCAATACCAAGTTTTTATTCCTCCAAAGCCTCACCAAAATTTAGTGTGATCAGGCTTTTCAATTTTAACTATGTAACATATGTATAGCAGCATCTGATTATAGTTTTAATTAACATTTCATTTATTTATTTATTTTTATTTTTTTTATCCTCACCGGAGGACATTTTTCCATTTTTTGTTCAGACGGAGCAGGAAGGAGAGAGGAAGAGAGAAAGAGAGAGAAACATTGACGTGAAAGGAACACATCGATTGCCTGCCACCCGCACGACCCAACCAGGGCTGGGGACAAACTGCAACCGAGGTACGTGCCCTTAGCGGGAACTGAACCCAGGTCTCTCTAGACTGTAGGCCAACGCTCTAACCGCTGAGCCAAACTGGCCAGGGCAATTAGCATTTTCATAATGACTAATGATGTTGAACCTCTCATCATGTGTTTATCTGTATATTCACTTTGTGAAAGAAAAAGACTAGCTTTGTCTTAAGGCAGTGGTTGTCAAACTTTTTGGTACAGGACCTTATAACATTAAAAACTTGTTTGAGGATGCAACAGAACTGTTTGAGTAATAACTATCAATATTTATTATATTTGAAACCAAAACTAAGAAATTAAAATGATGAATCTATTCCATTTTAACCTATATAACATATATTTTATGAAAAATAACTTTATTTATCCCCCAAAAAATACTTTGATGACAAAAAATGTTCAACGTTTTTACAAGTCTTTCTAATGTCTGGCTGAATAGGAGCGAGCCCAGTGCTCATCTCTTTCTGCATTGGTTCAGTGTCCCTCATCATGCAGCCTCTGGACAATTCCTCTGTACACCTTTGAGAGAGTATGGATAAAAAAGTCAATTCTAAAGTAAAGTACAAATCTGTTCCAGAATATGAAAGAAAAAAGTGAAGGACAAATCTTGGAAAGTGAATTTTATTTCCTATGGTTTATAATACTTGAGCCTGAAAAAAAGCTTATAGAATACATTAAAATTTTGGCCTAGTTCCCAATTTTGATGGCTTGCTTCCTTGGTTTACTGATTAATGCCTTTGACTATAAAACAAAAGAGTGTTCTTTACCTTATATGGAATCTGCCTAGCTAGCAGAGATTCTGTGTCTCACCAAAATTATTTTCAGAGTTTTATGTTGACATGATTAAAGTCCTTGACTAATTAAAGAAAAAAGATAAGGCCTTCACTTGTGAAGAGTTAATAGTTAATATTTTTATTTCTAATTCATTTTCAAATGTTTTATTGTTACTTTGATTACTTAGATAACCAAGTACTGTTTTTTAGGCACCTATGCTCCTATCTTAACCACTTCTTTTGTTTTTGCCTTCTCAGACTAAGCCCTGTATTTACATTTTTACAATACTTTTACACCTAAAACTTTGAGATTTCCTGGAAGAGTCCTGGAAAATCATAAGAACTTGTTCCTTTGCTTTACAAAAATTGAGATGCTATAAATAAGTCCATTTGTTTGCAGTGTTACTATTTTAAGAGTTGCATGGGAAGAGTTGTCAGAACAGAAGAAATGCTCAGTCTTCCCTAGGTTGTTAGTATAGGTAAAATGTTAACAATACATACAAGTATTTCTGAAACTGTGTATTTTATGGGAAGGCCCTGGAGATTTATGAATGCTCTCATTGACTATGTGTTTTTACCTTCAGGGGAAATACTAATCAAAACTCTTAGGAAATAGTTAACAATAAAGAATTTTAACCTCCCCCAGTCTGATATTATTTGTCACAGTAAAAACACTGACCATTACATTTCTATGATCTAAAGATAAACTTTGCATTACTCTGATGCTTGCCCGAAGGCTCTGCTATGAGCGACAGGCCAGAAAGGACAGAGTTTCGTGGACTATATGTACCAGGTAATTTAAAAATATCAAAATTTAAAAAGTAATAATACCTTATAGTCCAAAATACCTGATTTTTTAAATACATTGCTTAGATAATTATTAATCTGTGCAAGTGGACTGAGCCAGAATTTCCTTGGATTTCTAGATT